CGAAAAGGCACGACGGTGGTTGCCAGACAGAGAGCTTTTGCAGATTTGTTTGCCTCTGAGGGCCTTTGCCGGGCCTTGGGGCCGTCAAAACGACCCAGGATGAAAAGCTGGCCCCAGGATTCCTGGGGCCAGCTTTTCATCCAGAAGTCTGCACCCCTTCAAGGGGTGCAGACTTCTGGGGTCCACGTTGTGAAAGAGCCCTGGCGTGGGAAGACTGAGCCCGATGTCACCAGCCACCGCGAGGCGCATACACACGACGACCCCCGCGAGGGTGGAGCCCAATGTCGCCAGCTGCCGTGGAAAACCCGTGGACTACGTTGACTAGGTGCCGCGTTGCGGCATGGTCGTCGACCTCGTCGGCTACCCAAACAGGGCTCTCAATGTCGTCAAAAGGGATCTGAAGAAGTTCACCCTGGGATACAGCGAGATGCAAGATGCACCAGCCGCCAAGCCGATCTGGGCAGTGCTGTTGGCCAGTTGACGGCTATGGCAGCGAAAAGACCCCGCCCACAACATACATCAGACCGACGCGCCTAAAGCCGTGCGCAGACGACGGGCAGTGCGCGTGCGGGGAGTGGGAAGTGGCACTGGGCACTGGCGGCAGCTCACCAGGTGCAGGCGGCGAAGCTGGAGCCCGAAGGCCACAGACCGCGAAGGAAAGACATGCGATGAGTGGGAGGCTAAGCCCGGGTGCGGTCAGCTAGAGGCCAGCTCGTGAGAGAAGGGGGTGGAGGTGAAACTGCAATGAAGGATTGCACCTCTGAGTCTGGTGGCTGAGGAATGCTGGGTTGCTACTCTGAGCGGGCAGGTCGCACGAATATGGAGGCCCGCGGGAGAAACCGCACAGGGCCCCACACCCCGGGTAGCGGGGGCCGGAGATTGGGGGCACACCCGAGGGAGGCACGCCACGAGGGAGGCTCTGTGTTATGTCCTGGGTCATACCCGATTCTTTCCGCTCTGGATCCTCCAAACCAACGCCGTCGTGGGCTCCTCCTCCTCCTCCTCCTTCTCGTCCTCCTCCTCCTCCACCTACTCCTCCATGAACCTCCCCCTCCTGTGCTTCAGTCCACCTCTCACAGCTCCTCCTCCTCCTCCTCCTCCTCCTCCTCCTCCTCCTCCTCCTCCTCCTCCTCCTGCTCCTGGTCCTCCTCCTCCTCCTCCTCCTCCTCCTCCTCCTCCGTCTCCACATCCATCTTCACCCCCCCTCCTCCTCCTCCGACTCCTCCTCGTCCTCCTCCTCCTCCTCCTGCTCCTCCAACTCCTCCAACTCCTCCTGCTCATCATCATCATCATCATCATCATGATAATCAGCTGCTGCATCGTCGTCGTCCTCCCCTACTACTATTATTCTGAATCGTCATCAGCATCACCAGCATTATGGTCATTTTCACCATCCTCATCATCATAAGTACCCGAAGTCGAACCATCATCAGCATCATCAGTATCATCACATCCCTCAGCGTCATCCTCATCGATAGCATCGTCATAGTCGCTATCAGTCCAATCAGTAACACCACCATCATCACCAACCTCATCCTCACTATAATCATCAGACCGTCGTCGTTGTCACCGTCATCATCAGCATCATCAGCATCAGCATCATCAGCATCACAATCGTCGTCATCATCACCACCGCCGCCATCACCACCATCATCATCGTCGTCGTCGCCTTCGTCGTCGTAGTAGTAGATATCCTCGTCATTTTCAACATCGTCATCGTCGTCGCCATCATCATCAGCATCAGCACCATCATCATCAGCAGCAACATCATCAGTATCATCGTCTTCGTCTTAGTCGTCGTAATGATCGTCATCGCCAACATCATCATCGTCGTCCCCATCACCACCAGCAGCAACAACATCATCTTCGTCCTCACTAGCGTCAACATCAGCAAAATCATCAGCACCAGCATGATCGTCGTCGCAATCGTCATCCTTATCCGTATTTTCGTCGGAGGCATGGTGGTCATCATGACTACCAACGTCCTCGTGGCCGTCGCTGTCTTCGTCACCATCATCACTACCATCATCACCGCCATCATCATCATCACCCTCATGCTCCCTATCCTCTACCACAGCCTCCTCCTCCTCCTCTGCATACCCAGAATCCTCCTCATCATCAGCGCCATCATCAACTTTGTCATCGTCGTCGTCACCAGCATCAGCATAATCATCATCGTCATCATCATCATCATCGTGGTCGTCGTCATCGTCGTCACCATCATCTACATCATTATCGTCGTAGTTGCCGTCATCATAATCATCGTCGTCGTCCTAATCATCATCACCACAACCAGAATCATCATCATCAGCAGCAGCAGCAGCATCACCATAATTATCAGCAGCATCGTTATCATCATCATCATCATCATCATCATCATCAGCATCATCATCAGCATCATCATCATTCCCATCGTCATCATCGTCATCATCATAATCCTCATCATGATCATCAGCAGCATCATCATCATCGTCCTCTTGCATTTCCTCACGCCGCTCGCCTGGTGCCCAGGCCCCACAACAGCGCCCTTCTCCTTGGCCCGCCCCTCGTAGATTGCGGCGCGCTTCGGGAGCTTCAGGCGCCTTAAGCGAGACAGCCCAAGCCATAAGGGCAGCGAGATTCGCGCCAGGTTTGGACACCCTTTGCGAGATAAAACGAGGAGGAGGCGGAGGAGCAGCAGCAGAAGACGCAGGAGGAGGAACACCACAGAGGAGGAGAAGACTGAGGACGAGGAGTTGGAGCCGGTGGAGTAGCATTAGGGGGAAGCGAGGGACAGAACAGGGGGAAGGAGGAGGCGGAGAAGGAGGAGGAGGAGAAGGAGGAGGAGAAGGACGAGGAGAAAAGATTGAAGTACCGAACGTCCACGGGAGGAGAAGGAGGAGAAGCAGAAGCCGGAGGAGAAGGGGGAGAGGGAGAGGACGAAACGGGGGAACGAGGAGGCCGACTGCCAGCCCATTCTAGGTGCCCTGGGCCTCAGGCCCAGCTCCTCGAACTGCTCCTGCGAGGTGCATCGCGCCCAACGCACCCCTCCCCTCATCGTCCTCCTCAACCCTATCATTCCTCCTCCTCCTCCTCCTCCTCCTCCTCCTCCTCCTCCTCCTCCTCCTCCTCCATCGGGCATTTCTCATGAATAAATCCTCCTGGCCGCACCCCCAAACGTTTGCGCAGGCCGTGCCAGGCGTTTCGCCTGACACTTCTCGGGCCGGGCGAAAGAGGGGGATAGCAAAGGGGGGGGTTGAGAATCAGCTCACGTAGCTGGTTTCCCCGGCGCCTCCTGGCGCCGGAGGCGGCGATGTATCGAGGAATGGGCCCCTCGGTGAGGCCGAAACCAGCTGCATGCAGCAAATTTCGTAACCCCCCCTTTCCCAATCCCCCCCTTTCGCCCGGCCCGAACTTCCCCACCATTTACCGCTTTCACGGATGGAGGGCGGGCTATTTTCAACATGGAGCTCCCGCCGGAGCGCCACGCACACTCGTCTCAACAGTCTGCAGCCGCTTCGCGGATGGGGGCCGGCCCCTTTTCGAAATGTGGCTTTCCCCTGAGCGCCGCGCCGACTCGTCTTGAAAGTCTGCAGCAGATTCAAGGCTTCGCAGGATCGAGATTCCCAGGAGCGGCGTGATGGTACGGTTAAGTGCTATCAAGAAACAACAGTCACGAGCACTCCCTGTGTTGAAGTCCCAGGAGTGATGCTCTGGCACGAATCAGGACCGTCAGGACGTTACAGTCACGATCATTTGCGGCGTGGAAGTCCCAGCAAGGGTGTTTTGGCAAAAATGTGTTGGCAAGATCCCAGAGTCTCAGAAAATTCCTGACGGGTGCCCGAATCTGATCAACTGTATAATGTAAAACTCATGTTTATGATATTGTTCGGGTTCTGCCGAGGCATCTCCCCTTGTCTGAATCCGGGGAGTGGAATCCTGCCATGTTTGAATGATTACGACGGATGTCTTTCAATGGGCCACTCTTCCTGCAATGAAAACAAATTCTTGTAGGGACCTCGAAAATGAGCTTGGAGGCAACATCGTTGATGCGTCTTGGGTTTACACTGGTCCTCCTCCTTCTCCTCCTCCTCCTCCTCCTCCTGCCTCATCCTCCTCATCCTCAGTCCTCCTCTTCCTCTACCTTATGCTTCTGCTCATCCCCTTCTCCTCCTCCTCATTATGGTCCAAGTCCTCTCTACTCATCCCCAATCCCTCCTCCTCATCTACATTCTGCCTCCTCCTCCTCCTTCTCCTCCTCCTGCTCCTCCTGCTCCTTCTCATGAACATCATCCTCCTCGCCCTCGTCCTCCCACCTTCTCGCTCATCCCTCCTCTCTCTCTCTCTCTCTCTCTATCTTCCCTCCCTTCTGTCCATCTCGCCTTCCCTCCATCCCTCCTCCCTGCATCCGTCCTGCTGCTTCATATCCGAGGGCCAGTCAAGACATTTGCGGCTCTCTTGTAAGGCCCACATGCGATCAGATCAGAAGCGGTCCCCAGACCTCTCCCTGGGGAGACCAAAACGTACCCATACCGCTACTCCATGGACCTCTCCCAGGGTGCGTTCTGACCAGAATTTCGCCGCGAATCCAGCCGTTGCGACGAGGGCCTCCCAGGAGGCCCAAGAAGGGGAAAACGAGGAAGGAGTAGCAATATGGAGACCTGTCTTCTCCTCTGGCTCCCAAGGGGTCCGTCCTGACCCGTGGCTTGGCGGCGCGCAGAGAGGGGTAGGGGGATGCGGAGAAGGCTTCTTAGAAGGAGGCTGCTTCTTGAAAAGGCGCGGGCCCTGTCTGTAGATGGAAGGCCCACGCCCTCTAGGAAGCAGCCTCCTTCTAAGAAGCCTTCCTCCCTCCCCCTCCCCCCCTCTGCGCGTGGCTGAATGGCGGCGAGAAGCCCCCGGGAGGCCCCAAGAGAACGAGAAACATGCCAGGGAGGGCCGCCGACCGGCCTCGAGTGGCCCTCCTCCGATCGGGCCTTACACTTCTCCCTTCCCTCCTCCTCCTCCTCCTCCTCCTCCTCCTCCTCCTCCTCCTCCTCCTCTCCTCCCTCCTCCTCCTCCTCTTCCTGCTGCTCCTCCTTCTCCTCCTCCTCCTCCTCCTCCTCCTCCTCCTCCTCCTCCTCCTCCTCCTCTTCCTCGCTCGGACGTCAATTTTCCGTTCACGTTCCGAGGTCGTGCGTGCTTTTCCTGCCGGACGATGCAAGATGCTGCCCCATGGACCTCGCCGAGGACAAAATGAACACGTCCGAGCGATGCCAAGTCCCTCGAGGGACAACGATGAGGGGGACTGGCTCTGAGGTGGGGGAGAACATCGACCTGGAATCAGCTTGGGGCCTGATGCATCTCCCCCTGACGTAGCCCCTTGGTCTTCGGGTCATAAGTCGGCTCTCCAGCGGCCATTCAGGACGACCCTCTCACCCCCGAAACGCCCTCGACAAGGCGCAGCTGCTGAAGCGCATCCCGAGGCTGCAAAGGCACCGAGAATTGAAGAGAACGCCCGAAAACCTCGCACCTCGTCCCCCTCTGGGCCTATCCCCCCCCCCCTGATCGCCCCCCTCCCTCGACGCCGCTCCTGCGAGATGGACAGGGTGGTGCAGCCCCCGGCGCCGGCCTTCAGCGAGGCGACGTACGGCCGCTCCTCCAGCAGGCAGCCGCCCCCGAAGTGGTCGCCCCGGCACAGGGTGCCCCGGAACTCCTTCGAGGGGGCGCAGGAACCCTGACAGCTAAGGTACAGCCGGCCCGTTTCGGAAGGATGCGCGACAAAGATACAAGGGCCTTGCAAGCCCATTTCCAAACTTGTCAGGCGGGGCGCGCCCAACGAAAGCGGCCAAGGATGGACCGAGGAGGCAAGGATGCAAGGGGACCCTTGGGAAGGGTGCCCATCCTTTCTACGCGGATTGACTGTAAAGTCGGACCTAGCACAAGAGAACACCCTTCAAGAACATGAGGCTATCCGCTGGCCAAAACACCCCAGAACATAAGATCACTTGAGGGTGCCCTGCCCCAGGATGCACCAAAACATCCAACCTTCTGTTGCATCCTCGACCTTGTCTGTCCCGTCGCGGCCGCATCCGCGTCGAATCCGTGTCGAATCCATGTCGGGCTCGTCGGATCCGCGTCGGATCCGTGTCGAATCCGTGTCGAATCCGCGTCGAATCCGCGCCAAACCCGCGTCGAGTCCGCATCGAGCCCGCTTCGGGCACAAGGAAAAGTACTTGGAGGACAGGCGAGGCCCCCCGAAGAAAGGAACCCTGACAGCTAAGACATGATCGGAAGGCCACTCGATGCTCCTCAGAACGCGTGTTGACGCCAACTTGTGCTTGTCCATCGAGGCCTTTCAATACCACGCCGGCGGCGCAACGAGGGCCGACACGGGCTGCGCGCTACCGGCGCAACCGAACGAGGCAAACACGCGCTTGGGCGAGCACGCGTCCCAGTGATCACCGGGCCAGCCGAGACAACGACGGCCCTCCCTGGCCGTCTTCGTTCTCTCGGAGCCTCCGGGAGGCGTCTCGTCGCAGCGGGCTGGACCCGCCTCGACCGACGGGCCAGAGCTCGGCGGCGAGCGAGGGGGGGAAGCGAGAAGGGGGCGGGCCCCCGCAGAAGGCTCGGAAGTCCCGGGGCGTTCTGGGAAGTTGTCGAAGCCCTCCCCGAACACCAAAACAACTTCTCAGAGGGCGCGAGGGCTTCTGAGAAGTCCCGCCGCCTTCTGAGAAGGCCTTCTCCTTCTCATTCCCCCCCCCTCGCTCGCCGCCGAAGAACGGACCCTGGGAGAAGTCTGGCGACCGCGTCGGACCGGATGCTGGCCGGGCGGGAGAGCAGCCATTGTCTTGACTGGCCCTCCTCCGAGAGGGCGCCGGGAACCTACACAGGCGCGTTCCACGACTCGTAACATAGCTACTACTCGCAAAGGGCCTGCATCCGCCGAGAGGGATTCACGCTCCATCACGTAGAGGGCAACCTGTTTTTTCCCGGACGCGTGCGAGTAGGCACTCTGCGAGTAGTGGAACGCGCTCGGGGAGAACCTGGCATCCTCGCGACGTGCGAAACACATCACGGCGGAAGGCTTGTGGCCACCTTCGACCCCTGGTGGTCCCCGTCGGGCCCGGGCGCTGCCAAGAGAGGCTCGGGGTGGAGCGCTGGTCCCCCTGGAGGGGTCCAGACACGTGTGCAGGGCCTCTGGTTCGATGGCGCAGATCGTTCAATGCCGGTCGACTCTGGGTCACTAGCGGCGCTTAGACTCGCACGCTGCCGCATACGGTCAAAACTGATATCAAGGGTACGCAAGAAGGATGCAAGCCCCATTGGACACGCATGTCGAAGCTTTGCGAGAGGGGCTGCTGGCAGCCATCGAAAGTGGTCAGGGATGGGCCGAAGAGGCAAGGATGCAGAGGTACACCTGGGAAGGTTACCCATCCGATCATCGGTTTCGACTGTACGCCCTCCTGACCGAGGAAGAGAAGAAGGAGCGTCGGGGGCTCTAGAGGAGATCTAGGAGGGTGGAGGCGGATGCGCCCAGGTGTTATCTTAGGGGCTTGAGGGAGGTAGGAGGCAGGATAGGGGCGAATCCGAAGGGGAGGACAAGGAGGCGAGGGAGACGAGGAGAAGGAGGACAAGGATGAGGATAAAAATGGAGATGAGGAGAAGGAGAGGGTGGAAAAATCAGACGAGAAGGGGCGATCATGTCAAGTATGATGAAGATGGGAATGTGGCGGAGAGGGCCAGCATGAAGACGATGATGATGCTGGTGCTGCTGAAGATGATGATGCTGATGCTGATGATGATGCTGATACTGGTGCTGATGGTGATGGTGATGGTGATGATGAGGATGTTGATGATGATGATGATGATGATGATGATGATGATGATCATGATGATGATGCTGATGATTATGATGGTGGTTGTGATGATGAGAAGAGGAGGAGGAGGAGGAGAAAGAGGAGGAGGACGAGGAGGATGAGAAGAAGGATGAGGAAAAGGAGGAGGAGGAGGAGGAGGGGGAGCAGGAGCAGGAGAGGGAGGAGGGGGAGAACAAGGACGAGGAGAACAAGGAGGAGGAGGAGGAGGAGGAGAAAGAGCATAACGACGATCATGATGAGGAGGGGGAAATCAAGTCCTGACCGGGAGAAAGGGGAGGTCGTCGAATCCCGCCACCGCAAAGACTTCGGCCGCTGCCCAGGTCCTCCTCTGCGTGGGCGCCCCGGGACGCCTTCGCCGAGGAGCCCGAGCTGTTCACCAAAACGGACGCCTCGGGGAGGTTCCCCGCACTGCGCCCATGAGTCCAATCCCCATCCCCGCCAAGACTAATTCTCACAATGCTGAAAACATAGAGGTTCACCAGTCTCCCAGCTACCCAACAACAGAAAGCTGAAGCGGCGAAACACTAAACGCACCAAACACCAAGAACATGCCAAAGTCACAGCAGCCACACACCTCGGCGTCCAGCGGCAGCGTCCTGGACTCGGGACGGTCAAAGACAGGCTCTGGTGGAGAGCCAACCTTGGGTGATGGGCCTGTTTACCACCACCACCACCAAGTTGGAAGGGAGAAGGAGGAGGACAACGAGAAGGAGGACGAAGAGGAGGAGGAGGTGGAGGAGGTGGAGGAGGAGGATCCCCTCCCCCTCCAGCTTATGGTGGTGGTGGAAAACAGGCCCATCATTGGGGGCCAGAGCGTTGTGTCTCCCGCGATAGCGACCGTTACCGGCCCCGGCCCTCCCCCCCTGGTAACGTCACGGTTCGTGACCCCGACGTTTGGGAATGCCTGGGAACAGCCGCAATAAGCCAGAATAGCGGCAGATACCTAATTGGATCTGCTGTAGCAGACCGCGCACCATGCTATGGATGCGCAAGGACCTGCGATGGAGAGCTGCGCAAAGCTAAGCGCAGCGTAGGGGATCGCTGAGAACAGAATGCGGTGTTGCTCGATCCTCTCCCGTCCATCCTCCGCCTCCTCCTCCACTCCCTCCTCCTCCTCCTCCTCCTCCTCCTCCTCCTCCTCCTCCTCCTCCTCCTCCTCCTCCTCCTCCTCCTCCTCCTCCTCCTCCTCCTCCTCTCAAGCAATCTGGGCTCGAGCACAAGTCCCTCGCCCCCGTGCGCAGGGCAGTTTCTCGTTCCGAACCCAGCCTCGGTACCTCCCCGTGGTGCTTGGGGCACACCACTTCTCTCGGGCTGAAGATTTGCCCGTCTCTCCCGTGATAGAGTGGTGACGAAATCCGAGGTTTCCAGCATCCATGGCGCCGTGGTCGACATGCCGATCGTGTGGGCAGTGTGAATACAACGACAGACTCGAGCAGAGAGACCGCAAGTGTGCCCGCTGTGGACGCAAGGTGAAGCTCTACGTGCTGAGGCCCAAGAGTCCCAGTGCGCCGCCGAAGGGTATCATCAAGAACGTGAGCTTTGCCAAGGATAGTAAGGATAGTGATGCAGGCAGTAACCAGTCCACACCCCGCAGCTCCAAGGCGAGCAAAGGGACGCGTGGGCAGGCAGTTGAATCATCAGCCCGCACCCTCCTAGAGCAGGCGATCGCTGCCGCGCAGGACCCCAAGTTGAAGGAGGCTCTGATGCAGCAGGTCATCCAGCTCAAGCGTGAGGAGGCACAGCACATGCAGCCCAAAGATGCGCTTCCGTCTCTTCAGAGGGCGGACAGCGCTTGGAGGGATGCCAACAATCGCCATACCCAATCAGTGCAGTCAGTCCTTCGCATTCGTCGGCAATTGGAGGCAGCTGAGCTCAAGGAGCGTCGTCTCGCTGAGGAGCTGGCGGAGGCCACCATCGTGAAGCAGCAGGCCGCACGTGCATTGGCAACGGCTGAAGGAGTTGTACCCAAGCCATCAGAAGGGAAGACCGACGACAAGTGCGGCAAGCCCTTCGAGCTAGTGTACGACCACACGCTTTTCGACAATCTAGATGAGCTGGAATGCGAGGACTCCGAGAAGGAGACCTTGAGGAAGATTCACAGTGAGTTGCAGTCGGCCAAGACCACCCTCGATGGCAAGGCTGATGAGGTCACCGCGATGCTCAAGAACGCCCAGGACATGCGCCAGTCCATCAAGGACCGCTCCATGAAGAAGAGGCGCACGGCCGAGGGCCAGGCCGCACCCCCCGCAGCGCCGCAGCCAGGCGAGGCCGCGCCCGCAGCCAGTGGTGGCAGCGGCAGCGACGGCAGCCAGGCAGCGGCAGCGGCAGCGCCGCAGGCGCCTGAGGGTGCGGCCGCAGGTGCGGCTCCAGCAGCAGATGTCCATGCAGAGCGAGTTCGTGCTGAGGCAGCTAGGCTCTCAGCCGCCAAGTTCCAGTCCCAGCAGCATCTGTCGGAGGACCCGATCCCTGCGTCATCTTGACTAGGGGTGGCATCGAAGTGCACGAGCGATGACAAGTATACGCAGCTTCTGTTTGGCAACGTTACCGCCATGGGGGAGAAGGTGTGGAACTTCGTCCGTAGGGCTCGTGAGAATGACACCCATCAGATTTTTTGTTTTGTGGAGGCGCACGTTTCCCGCACTGCCTTGCGTGAGTGGACAAAGAAGTCCCGTCAGTCTTGTCTCAGATTAGTTGCCAACCCTGCTCGGGCTACAGGCAAGTCCACGACTGCACGAGGTTTCGAGAGAGCCACTGAGGGAGGCGAGTGGATTTTGGCCCCTGGACACTACCAGGTGCACTCACTTGCCCCCCAGCTGAATTTGCCAGAGTATCAGTTTGACGGCCAGTCGGCCACCGACGGCTTCACGGCAGTAGTTGTGCACATGTCAGGCTACTCGATCGTGATCATTACATTCTACGGTTTCACTTCGGTCGGCATGACTGACGACAACATCGCACGCTTCTCGAAGCTAGGAGCTTTCCTGTCATCACTCCAGTTGCCCTGGATAGTTGTGGGAGATTTCAACGTGTCTTCGACATCTCTTGCCGCATCGGGGTTTTTAGCACGAGTCGGAGGCGAGGTCGTGAAGGCTCCCATCGATTACACGTGCGACGCTGGAAAGTGGCAGTCACATTGATTATGTTGTGCGCAGTTTTGCAGCCGCCGCGTATCTTGCAGATGTGCAGGCGGCCCTGTCGGTCCCATGGAAGACCCACTGTGGTTTGCAGCTGAGTCTCCGATCGTCTGCCAAACAGCTACTCACACGCCGATTTGAGCTGCCTGCTCGCCTCCCTCAGGTGCCTAGGCCAGTCCGTCTTCCCACGCCTGGATCGAAGTCGCAGCGTGCCAAGGTTGAGCGCACAGTTGCCACTCAGCTTGCAGTCGAGAAGCGTCGAGATCGGTACCTAGAACTTTTTGGCGACCTCTGGAAGGCTGCCGACGATGACAACTTCGGATCTGGCACTCCCAGCACGGCAGCTCCAGCTTCGGACCCAGACAGTGACGATTTGAATCAGCTCAGGGAGGACCCCCTAGACCATCTCTTGGATGGTTACGAAGAGGAGGACCCCTGGGCCAATGAATCTTGTTTCCACCACCGCCCTAGTAATTCAGAGTCCGCTGCCCAGGGTGCAACCAGCAGCGAGACTAAGGTGGAGCCTACTTCGTCAGAACAAGGCAACGTGTCATCGAGTTCTACGGGGGCTGCCGTGACTACGTTCCCCACTGGACACGCTGGCGTGGACAGTGGAGTGCGTGTTGAGGCAGCGCCCAGCGGGGTGGAGCCCAACACTCGGCCTTTTGTCTGGAATCCTGAAGCCCATGTTTTCAAGTTACCTCAGTACGCTCCGTGCATTGAGTGGGGTCTGGTCCCTCCAGTGGATGCTTGTACACCGTCAGTTCCCAACGAGTCGACCACCCATCCCAGCGAGTTTCAAGAGCCGCCCCCCCAAGGTTTGGAGAACACCGAGGTCAGCTTCTTTATCCCAGCCGAGACCTGGATCGAAGCCAGGACGGCGGTCGGGTTTATCCCTGAACATCAGTGCCCTCCCCCCATTGCTTTTGCCTCGTCCGTAGCCGCTAGGCTTGAACCCTCGTCCGTCGGCCCAGTCTCGGCTCTATATGCCTCATGGGTGACGACGTTGGAAAGGACGGTGTACGAGCATCATGGAGTGGATGGCCCGCCTTCGTTATCACGTGGCAGAGGGTATTCTTTCGAAGTCGTTGAACAACGTGTACCTAATAAAGGTAGGTTAGTGCCGTATCGGGATGCGGTGGCTTCATGGTGGGAGCGATTCCACACGGTTCTGCACATATTAAACAATCATCGTACACGGGGAAACGGCCATGCCCAACAGTCCCAATTGCAAATCGCTTGTCGTAATTTGTTGGATGAGTCACCTGATCAGGCCCACAGGGGCCTACGCGAAGGAATCGACCCGTCTTGGGAGGTTTGGAAAAGTGTGCTGTCTCAGGGAGCTCCAGAACACCAGTATAAGCTCGCAGATTTTGTCCACTCGGCTAGGAAGATAGCTGCTCGCTGTCGCTGCCGTGCCATGCGAGCCTCGATTGCTGAGTTCCGAGATTGGATGGTACAGCCAGCTGCATCAGGCGTCTTGCACCGCGCGATGCGGCAAGAACCTTTGCCCCTAGACGAGGTCACAGTCGGCCAGCAAGTTCTGTTTCACCCACGGGATATTGTTGATGCCAAAGCGAAGGTTTTTAGAGACCTCTGGGCCCCTGGACCCCTGGAGGAAACCAAGGTTCTCGAAGCTTTCGAGCGAGCCCGAGCCGAGGCTCGTCAGGATCCACTGGAGCCAATCTCAGTTTCGGATATTCGCCAGGCAGCCCATGCGATGCGCCCACGTGCAGGCATGGGTGTCGATGTCTTGTCGCCGGCGGACGTTGAGCGACTACCAGATGTTGCCCTGGACGAGTTAGCTCGCATGTATGGAGTGATCGAGGAGACCCTCACATGGCCATCACAGTTGGGATTAACCATTGGGCGCATGATCCCCAAAAAAGCCTCAGGGGACAGGGTCATAGGGCTGCTCACGATGGTTGCTAGAATTTGGAGTCTCACACGCGAACCCCTGATCAAGACTTGGGCCAATGAGTCCGAGCCCATGTGGGACGCTGCGATTTCAGGAAATGCTGCTTTACGAGAGGCTTTTATGAGAGTCTGCGAGGAAGAGGTTTCAGGCACCCTTGGGATTCCCACGGGCCACGGGCTTCTGGACATCCAGGGGTTCTACGACGCCATGGAATGGTTTCTACTTATACCTGCAGCAATACGTTTGGGATTTCCGTCTGTAGTCTTGGTGTTAGAGCTTGTACAATGCCTCATGCCTCGTGCTGTAGGTCAATGTGGAGCTTTCGCCGAACCCATAC